CCCCAAAACCCCAAAACCCCAAAACCCCAAAACCCCAAAACCCCGTATATAAGAAAGAAAACTGATCCACAATTAATAAATAACAAATGAATAAATTTATTGCACTGACCGTACTCTTGCTCTCAAGTGTTTTGGTGGCAGCTGGACCATTGACTATTGATGTTGGAGGAGGAGCTCTATTCAGACTCCAAGATGAAGTCTTAGATGCTTTCAATAGAAAAGTTCGCTTTGAGATGACCCTAAACTCCAATCTTCATCTCCTTGAGACAGCCACTGCTATATGCTTTGACTCTGATGATACCTTCAGCATATCTGATGGAGCACCTGGATGGGGAATGAGTTTCCTCTGTACTGTTTCTGAATGTAGCACGAATGCTCACTTGCATACTCTCTTGTTCGGATCCCATTATCAGGAAGGACATTGGGTTGGAGGTGGAGTTGATGCCTCTTTTACTTGGAATGGTGGACTTGAACCAAATGACGGAATATTCCCAGTGGCTCAATTCTACATGGGAATAAGCTTAGCCGCTTCTATTAACCTTCCAGATCTTGAAGCTGCTGTAGATACTTATTACAAATGCTTCACCAATTTCGATGGGTCATATGTTGAGGATAATCTTTTGGTAGATATTAACCTGGATAGTGACTGGCAAGAGCACAATGTCACAGTTGCAGCTACTCCTTCTCTTCCATAAAGTGATGAAGATCCAGAAGCTTAAGCAAATAGCTTGGTTTGGAGTTAAAACCTATACCATAATTCTTCATAAAAACCAAAAACAATATCTGTTTCTTTTTGGTGTATTTTTCCATCTTGGAGAACGATCTTTTTGTATGAGTTAAAATGGTTTGGATCGGGTAGTGAAAATCTTAAAATACCAAGAATGGTGAACTAAGAGGAGTAACTCCTCTCCCCTGTTCTTCTCTTCGTCCTTTCGTCTCTTCATCCCGAGGAATTGTATTAGATCCGAGATTCACCAATCAAGAAATTGATTAAATCATGTATAGATTTTAAGGAGTAACTTATTTGCGATCAACACCAAATTGTCTTTAGGGGTTTTGGGGTTTTGGGGTTTTGGGGTTTTGGGG